CCACTTATCATTAATCGGTTAATACGTGGTAAACTGTTAACATCCGTCAAATGACATGCACCATCTTTTATTATTAACGATTAAACCGTTAATCATCAATTAGTAGTGCGGCTATTCTTCTTCTCTCACCCCATGGGTCCATATCTTCTCAAAGATGCTCTCTCTGTCTCCATTGTCAGAAAATCTCATGAATGTCAATTCATACAAACACGTTGACAGTCTTTCTTGGTGTTAGGTACTAGGGAGAAAGGTTCATCGCAATTGGTTATTTTCACTGGTGTTTGAGAAAGGCTCATGGCTATTGGTTAAACGGAAAGCTAGTGTGAGTCCCAAATTAAGGAAAAGGCCGGCTGACCTATCATCATCACTACCAGTGTTTGTTTACAAAGAGAGGAGGGGACATAGAATATGTGCCTTTGTTGTACGGTCTCTCATCCCCAACCATCCATTCTTTTTCCTTTTGCTTTCACAGCCCATCTTTCTCAAGATAATGGGTGGGTGGGTGGATGGATGGCTTCTTTTCAATTGGATTGGCCGTTGAAAAAGGCCACACTCACTCACTCACTCATTCAATCTCTCTCTCTTCATCATCGTCGTCGTGCAAATGCAGAAATGCTCCCTTTGGCCCCAGGGTAAGAAAGCTCTTACAAGTTAAGGAAGTTGGTTCCATTTTTGTTTAATATTTCTCGACAACACAAATTAAGTCTCCCCTTTTGTTTATCTAAATCAAATGGGTATTAGATGCTAAAAGGGTTGGTTAATAACAACTTATCAACACCAATAGACTAATAGGAACTCTATATGTACATATAAACAAATAACAGCAGCATATATATATCCAGAACACTCACATTGACTTCATTATCAAACATCAACAGAATAATAATGTGCCATTTTCAAAGGAACCCACGAAACTAAAGATACCGAGTGTGTAAGTATCTCAATATCCATATTCACTGCTACTTTAGATTGGCGTTAGATAATGTGTTTTGACTCATGATACTAATGGGAACAACTTAGCTTATTCGAACGTCCATTTCATATAAAAGTGACATGACAAGTAAACAAATTTAGTTCGAAATCGAGATAAAAAAAATTTGAAAGTGTTGAAAAAGCACTTACTGCAATAAGCAAAGTAAAGAAACACTTCATAATAAGATGGGTTATGGAATCATGAATGTTTTTTAATTGTCATATGTTAACATCCTCATAATTTGCATGATAGAATGTATTTTAGAAAATTTTAAATGAACACGTCCTGAAATTTACTCTTTTTTTTTTTCCATATCTTACCTATCTTAAATAAATTTCGGGCTACATAATTGATATCCCCAGGAATTTCTAGAGTAGGTTATATAACATATAGTGCTCTAGATGACCAAGACATCTTCTTTTTTTTTTTTTTTTGCAAAAGATAGCTTGTATTACCAAGAAGCAAAGATCACAAACGATTACAACTCCGATCGGAGCCAAACGCAAAAATCAAACCCCCCGAGACAAGTAGGATACAAAGAAAGGGCCTTCCTAGCCACTCTATGGGCTACCCTATTGTGATCCCTACCTACGAATCGGAGAACATCCCCTTCCACCGCACCCAACACATCCTGTACTTCCCGCAACACCGCTCCTCCATAACAATCCCCCGTACTGCCGGCTATCACCTTGTCTATAACCACCTTCGCATCACCCTGGTAACAGACCCCGTACACCCCCATCGATCGACACCACAAGATTGCCTCCCGAAGCGCCAGCAGCTCTACCAGCAGCTCTACCACAAGATGACCAAGACATCTTACATGCTGAAGTTGTTAAAATCTTTCGCTAGGAAATACAGGTTTTGCGTTAGATACTAATAGTTGGGCCACAAAGTTTTCTTCGCACTTTACTTTGTATTTTTTTTTCTTTACTATTCTTTACATGAAGCATGTCTTTCTACTGTGGAAAAATTAAATATGTTCTTTTGTTAAAATTTTCATAAGAAATCGACAACCACGATCAAACCGTGGTTCGGATGATATAACCTCAGCAAAATAGGAGGAAAATGTCAATTTTGCCCCTCCATTTATTCCTTTAAGTCTTGTTAAAATGAAATTATTAGGAGTATTAGGTGATACAAAAGAAAAAAAAATATTAAAGTGAAATTGTTAGAGACATTTTAAACATTTTGATGAAAATTTGGACAGAATGACATGTTTGATAAATTTCCCAAAATATAAGGACATGTTTGATGTAAAAAAATAGTAGACCAACATGTTTGATTAGAATGCATAGTAGAATGACATATTATACCTATAATCCTATATAATTTAATTTGTAGTGTATCGCTTTCATCATTTTCACTAGCCAACATATCAATGAGATTAAGGGTTTTTTCCCGGCCCTCATGTAAAAGAGTGACAATTCAATATATTTTCTACAATTTAAATATAAATACACTGGAATTCCAGTATGATCATATAATTTCATAGAAACGTTTCTAAAAATTTAGGGAAATTATCAGTTGTTTAGAATGTTTAAGAAAATTATCAAAAGTTGAAAATTCAAAGCGATCTGGCACTATTTGTTTTAAATTTTATTTTTTCAAATGTATATTGAATGAAAAGTAGACATAATAAAATTTTGGTTTAGCCTCCTTTCATAAAATTTTGGCTCCAAACTGAAATTCTGACTTGGGCCATGCATCCTAGTCCAATCGCATTAGTCCGTCCCCTATACATTCATCCATCCATCCATCCATCCAGTGTGTTCGCTTTTCAGCTTCTGGTTCTGTTGTGCTTTTTGGGTTGGGTTGTGTGTTGTCACTTGTTTTTGTTTCGAATCCAATCGGGAATCAGCATAGGCCCCAATGTTCTCCTTGAACAAGAAATCTTTTGTATTTACCCATCCCTCTGTCTCTGTGCTGTGTTATGATGAAAGCGAGGGGCCGGCCAGTGGGCAGCGCACGCTGCTGCTTACGGCTTTGCTAATCCAGGGGAGGCAACACTTGGGAATTTAATAAAAAGGTCAAACCTCTTAATATATATTGATATATTAAACATGCGCCACTTGGCAGAACTTCGGGACGCCAGGGAAAAGTTGGGCAGTCCACCGATTAAGAGCCAACTTACTTAGACTTAGGAGGACAACAAAACCAAACACAACAAAAGTTTGTCTACATTCCACCCCTAAACTAAGTATGAGAAGAAACACAAACAGATTTTTTGGGAATTTGCTCTCAGTTCTTTCCATTGAATCAATGGCAATATGTAAAAAGGAGGCCTACTGCTAATTACTGTTAGCCAACGGCTAATGCATACTAGCAACTCATCTAACCAATTACAGTAGACCGCATAAAGTTGTACGGTGAAATAATTAAAAAAATTAAACTTTACACAAACAAATAAGTGAAACACTCCGCTTCCTTATTCTTCTTACTTGCATTCTAATCAAGAGCAGAGCTATAGGCAACCCTTTATTGCAGTACAACTGGATTGATCATCGTCATTCTGACTCCTTGTACCCTCCCGGCTCCCACAAGCTTGCGAGTATAGATTATATACTCTAAACTAATTGGATAACAATCAAGCAAAACGATCAATTTAATAAACTCTTAGCCAAATACATCAACTAGTTGCAAATCTGCTAAGACATGATGTAAGGTGATTAAACATGATTGAACTCATTCTCAGATCATATGGCAATCCACATTTATCTACTTTTGGTCCTTTCATGATATACTGGATTCTCTACTATGTTAATTGTTGATGCCTAACTGGTTATCACTATACACCTTGACTAATCGAGAATGTTGAACTCAAAAATCATTAAGCAACCTCAATAACCATTCAACTTCACAACTCAAACTGGCCAATGCTATGTACTCTATCTCTCAAGATTATCTTGACATGGTTTGCTGCTTGTTACTTCAAGTTACAATTCCAGAGCCAAGAAAAGCACAGTACCCAGTAATAGATTTTCTGGTATCTGGACATGTAGTCCAATCTGAATCACCGTACCCTCTTAATTCCAATGTAGCATCTTTAAAGTAAAGTAGCATCTGTCCTAGAGAACCTTTTAAATTTCTCAATAGCGGAGTCTTAGACTCGATGTGGTTGGATTTGTTGATACTTATAAAGTTGTTGAATGTCTGAACTTACTGTTCTTTAAGTAATGTAGCTGACCTACCGAATACTTGTAACCACTTGCATCTTCTAAGGCAGTGCTCCATCTTCTAAGGCAGTGCCCTTTGCTGATGATGGAACTTCCTTCACATAAATTAGTGTAGATACATGTTTACAATTCTCAAACACAGACAAGCTTCATCAAAAGATCAAGACAATAGATTCTCTGTGAAACTCCCGGAACCGACCTAGATTACAATTAATACTGATGCCTCCATGATACAATCCACTAATCATGTTGCAGCGACGAAATTGAAAGGGAAATAGAAAGAGCTCTAACCCTTGAAAACCAATCGGCCAAGATTACATGAAATTCAATATCGAATACATCTTTGGCTTATGAGTTATGTGTTCTCTTCTTGGAAGCGTGTTTGCTTTGTGCACCGGCACAGCAGAATTCGAATACGCTGGCTCAATTCCTTTAACTCTGTTAGAAACACATTATTTGCAGTTTTTGGTCATTTCGTATTATTGTCGGTTTTTAATAATTGGGGGATTATTTGGGGTATTCGGGAAATAAACAGGTAGTCGATTGTTACGTTTTATTAGTTGGGTAGGAGATGGGGATTATGTGGATTATATAATATGTAATAGTGGTCTTATTCTCATTAAGTAATAAAATAACAAAAAACCTAAACCCTACACTCCCTCTCTCTCCCTCTTCCTGCGTCTTTCTCCTTTCCCCTCCCTCTTCCAAAAGCTGCGGCAGCAGCAGCCTTCTTCCCCTTACCTTGTTCTAAAAATTCCCAATTCTCATCTCTAGCTAGGTCAATCCCTAATTGATCTAGCTAATTTCCCCAATCCCGAACTCGTTAGAAACTTTGTTTCTAACAAACTCCCCTTGTCACTTCCAACCCAAGGAAGTACATCAATTGTCCCAAATCCTTCATTTTGAATTCAACCTGCAGTATACTCATATGTCATAACGATGGCATCCAAACTGATACTTGCAATCATAACGTCGTCTCGCAGACAAATAGAATCACATCCCATGTTATTTTCTGGTTAATACGATTGGAAAGTCTAACCTTTGTACTAATTGTGATTTGTGACAGAAACATTTCCGAATAATAAATTATTACATGATGTTTCTATTAAAGGATTGAATCTTGAAGCACAAGGCAGGCGTATAAATTTGGAGCTTGTGGATGTTGACACCGTCCCTTGTTAGATTTGGCAAGTCGTCGGCAGTTCCCATACCAAAAGAATACAACACTCTTATATATTTACATTATATACCTGCTTAATGCATTTGCCCCCCGATGATGAACCAATTATAGTGTAATCCATTCATGACCATCAGGAGCCGGATCTTGAATTTCCTAATGAAAGAAAGGATTGGCCTCCAGAGTCCAGACAATGTCCTGCAGAATCAATCTGGCCCGGCCAACCTCAGAGTACATGAAGATTTTGGATCTCTACTTGCAATGTTCTGATCTTGTTCTCTACTTTGGATATTTCGCTTTGCAACACTAGAACCTTGTCTAGCCTTTCTTGTGCTGCATCTTGGTAAGGCTTGCCTATGGTTTTCACAAACTTCTCTAGATTTTTCACAGTTTCTGACAGATCCTTCTGCATTGCTTCTTCTACTTCAAGTGCTAAGCCATCGGCGATCTTGTTCACCTTGTCGGTCATCGCCTTTCTTCGCACAGGAAAGTTCAGAATCGCAATGTACCTATCACAAAACTCGAGGATAAGTAAACATAATAATTGAAGTTTGGTAAGAATCAAGGCTGAATATACAAACACATGACAACATAAAGAGTGTACAGATATAGATTACCCTCCAGCAGAACAAAAGCCAAGAGCAAGAAGATCTTCCAAAGTAGTGGGTAGCACTGACGTCAAAAGAGAGGCCAGCAAGCCAGCAGCTCCAATACCACCAAACGTGCCCAAGAACTGAAATTCAACGCAAAATGTTCCTCAATATTTGAAGGATGAAGTTGGTCATTGGTTGATATTGCTAACTGAGTGCGCCAAGAATTAATAATAACCAACCGATTCACGGATTTCTTCTTCAAATAACTTGGAAGCTTGAGCAACATTCAAGTTTTCTAGCACTTTCAAGCTTGAGTCATCGACTTTCTTCAACAACTCCAGGGCATCCAGCTGCATCTGCGTGTTCCGATTAATAATCAATGGCCACCTATTATCAAAAGATTCTCTGTACAGTTTTGCTTCACGGGAACTGTTTGAATTTAACCATGTCAGGTATTCTTCTAGTAATTTCTGCAAGGCAGATATGAGTGACACTTGTTCAAACCCGACCACCATGCATCAAAAAGTTCAACAAAATTTTCTTTGGCATTCTTCAAATTAAGTACAAAAGAAGGGGGATGAAAAAATAAAGAATAGAAATGGTTACTTTTAAGCCACAGCTGTAACTTACTTGGGCATCTGATAGTGCTGGAGATATTATCTCGTTTTGAATCTTCAAAGTGGAAGGCATCGCAGACTTCTCTTTGAATACATACGAGGCAACCAGATCAAGATTTGATAACTGCAGTGTTGATTCTATCAGATCCACAACCCGGGTTTTTGTTGCATCAATCTGAAATTTCATTGACCTATATCAGTAACACACGCCAAAAATATTCCCCAATTTGAACCGTCCACTCAAGTGGAGATTTCATCTTTAAGATTATACCAGAGATAGAGCTTTTCGTTTCCAAGCAAGGCTCTCATTTTCAACCTTTGCAGAGTAATCTTCCAGACTGTCAACAAGTCCAGCTGCATATGCTACATCCTGCTTGGCGAATCTGCTGTCATGTTTTATAAGAGTATCACAACTGGAGAGCAAACGCTCAGCAATTCGTATTGGGGTTTCCAGTTTGAGCCTCATTCTTTCCATTCCTGTCCTTGTTGTGCCATCTAAAAAGCTATACAAGAACTTCTCAAGCTCGTAGAACTTGTCAATTCTCCAGTGAGACTCTGTGTGGGCACTGTGGAGATCTAAAGATGACAATTTTGCTTCAAGTGCAGACCGTGCAGAGACAGGGTAGACAGTAATGCTTTCTGAATTCAACAACTTCCTTGTATTCTCCTTGATGAATGACAAAGCCTCCTCAAGCTGCACAAAAGTCATGCTGAAAATTTTAACACACTCCAGTGCCAGAAAAGGTCAAAACAGAAAATAAGCTACTTCCAAATTAACAGCATGAACGACAAATGGAAGGAATTCAGAGTTGAACCTCACTGTCATTCCGGTATAGATCAGACTTGTTCAACACGAACACAATCTTCTTTCTCCACTGCTGGGTATAACGAAGAAAAGTTACCTGCAATATATCCCCATCAGTGAGAAAACTTGTGTGCAAGGATAAGCCTTTCTTTCTTGTTTTTTTTTTTTTTTTGTTTTTGTTTCAGTGAGCAACAAAATAAGCCTTGACAACAAAATAATTGAGCAAAGCATTCATATAGACCCATATAAACAAAACCAAAATACAGGGAGAGCATCAGAAATGTGGTGTGAGATCCAGTCAGGCATGAATTGAGAACCAACTCAGCTAATAGCTCCATTTCCAATGAGCCCCTGTCACATTCTACTCCCGCACGTTGCAATGCATAAGCAATAATCATTTGCAGGTTTCATTAGGACAATGTAAGTTGCATCAGAACTACAGGTCGTAGCTTGTCTATTCAAATTTCAAATAATTATAATCCATCACCTAGATGTGTTATAAGCAAACAGATATTTCATACTTAGTACTTACCTCACTTTCAGTTAATGGCCGATCAGCAGAAATTACAAAAAGAAGCAAATCCGCCCGAGGTACAAATTCCTCTGTGAGGCGCTGTTGCCGTTGGAGAATAACATTGGTTCCTGGCGTGTCAACAATATTCATCTGTTTAAAAATGTTGAAGCATATTAGTCATCATCATGAGGTCATGTTTCCCTGACAATTCACCTGACTAGTTTAGCAAATAGAAAGAACCAAGTCCAATGACTTCTTTTATCTAAAAGCAAACTGAACTGCACTTATCTAGCTATATTCCTGTGATCAATCTGGCATCAATGCTAACAACAAATTATCTAACTGAATTCAGCATTTATTCAGAAACACTAGAAAAAAACTTTAGCGTGTTCCTTAATCACACTAACGATGCTGCAGCTTCATGAACAACCAGAACATAACAGATAACCAAGTAAAGGGTCTCTTGATATTCTTGATATTGGAAGTCTTTATCATCGCACTGGATTAAATTGAAGTGATCCTGTATTAATCAGTTCACAATTCATATACTATATGCAAAAGTCCAAGAAATCATACAGTGAAAAGTTGTTATAAGAAGTAAGTATCAGAAACAATTTACCTTACAAGGATCATTCTGTAGGTAAAGAACAACAAAACGACTTGTATACAGAGGATAACTTCAAATGCATGTTACCTTAGCTAATACTGATTAATAAAAGAACAAGATAACTGGGAAAAAAAGCTGATATAAGAACAAGCATGTAAATCAAAATTTTGATCCCATACTGGACCTAAGGTCTGTTGCCTCTAGTCAGGAGTCTAATGATTAAATGTAAATGAACTCACTTCTCTAAGAATTGGAGCTGGAAGATAGCAAATAAATTGGCCATCCGGATGCCGTTCACATCGCTGTTGCTCTGCAGCATCATCAACAGAATACCGCAAGAATGTAATCTCATTTGTTGTAGGGACAACGCCTTCTTTGAGATATCTTTCCCCAAGAAGAGCATTAATAACACTTGATTTACCAGAGTTAAATTCACCCTGCTCAGACCAAGTTGGATCAAGAATAGTGAGAGCAGAAAAGCCTCAGCGGAATTTCTAGGGTAGGGACACAAACATCCAACAAGTATCTCTAAAATCCACAATATCCACCATAAGATATTTGCTACAGAAGATTTTCTTGGCTTAAGGAAGATATGATATGGAACCAAAACAAGATATGACATTAAGCCCAGAGGCAAATAAATAATCCCAAAAGTAAGTTATTACAAGAACAAAAGGGTGACTAAGAACTAGTAGAATTTTTGAAACATAAAACTAGCAATGCAATTTCCATAGTTTTCATTGTCCACCCAGAAGTTGTTCAAAAAGAAAAGGGGGAATGCAAGTATGAAGCCAGAGCAGAAAGCATGAAAGCGCCCTCTAATCTTAGTCTGTTCACGCAAATAGAAAAGGTGTTCATTTGAAATTTAGAGCTAATACCAATGCATATCGCTGGAACCAGAGTTTGTTGGAGTTCAGCACACAATTACCACTATAGCCAGTAAAAATGGCTCATCAATTTGAGAAACTGCATCAACTAGAAGCGAGATCTCCTCCATCTGTCATTCAAAACAAAAACCCGGATTCAAGCATTAAATCCAATGACAACAGTGATGAAAGCATAGAATACCCAGATAAACCGAAGCATGCAACGCAAAAATTCCCGAATACAAGCTTACCATAGGAACAGCTTTCTTGATTATGTCGATAGCTTCAAGCAACAAAGATTTCTCTTTTCCTATGAGCTGTTTTTCTTTATCCTCGAGTCTAACAAACCCAGCCACAGCATCTTTGCCATTAACATCATCCAACCTCTTATCGTGTCTATGGTACTGTTCGAATTCGTTCTGAGCTTTCTGCTCGGGTTGAAACAACTGGCTGAAAGAATCATCACTGACCGTGACCAGCCTCAAGTCTTCTAATGACATAACATAACCACTGGGACGAGAGTTGACCAATAGCGAGCCGGCCATCCCATAAGCGACAAAGATGGGAATCTTCACACTCTGGAATTCGGAGTTAACTTGTGGATCGAAAGTCTCCACGCTACTAGATGACAAAATGAGGAAATCAGCCCCTTCGGAACTGGCTGCTTCTACAGCGGACTTTGGCGTCTGAACAATCTTCGCCACCAGGGGGAGAAGTACTGATTCGGATTGGGAATCCATCATCATGCTTCTGGCAACGATGGCAGGGAGACCTGAATAGGACCATGCATCGCGAATTGAAATTATTGAAGCAACGGATCAAAATTGAACTCCTCTCTAATCGCAAAGAGACCAAACCTTGATCGGAGACGACGACGCCGCTAGCATTAACAGCAGAAGCAATGTCAACTCGCTCCGCAATCAACAAGTAGGCACGATCCCTCACAACGGACTTCAATAGACACGCCGCCTCGTAGAGCGTCTTCCCGCCCCCGTCGCCGGCATCGAGCACGACGATCCCTACCCAGCGCGAGACCGCCCTGTCGATCAGATCCAACGTATCGTCTCCGCCGCTCAAAACCTCTTCAGGCCGGAGCTGGAGCACGATGCTGGGGACCTTGATTTCAGGGCGCTTGTAGCCGCCGGGAAAAAGTGTCCTTGGCTGCGCGGGCGGGTCGGCTGAGAACTGCGCAGATGAGATGGTCGGGGCAGAGTGGACGGCGAAGTAGTGGAGAAGGGGAGAGGACTTGAAGCGAGGGAGAGGAGGGAAGACGGATGGGGAAGGAGAGAATAGAAAGAGCGAAGGAGCAGGCGGAGCGTGGAAGGAGATAAGAGGTATCATCGAATCGAAGCTCCCGGTTGTTGGTTTTGGAAAGGAGGGAAGCAGAATGAGGGAATTTGACAGAGGAAGAAGAGCGGGGAGCGAAGAGCCTTATCTAATATCTACGCTCAAACTTAGCAATGTGATTTTTGCCCGCTCATGTGGCGCCGTCATCTTATCTGTTAACCAATGTTGCCGGGGACCCGAGCTAGGAATAGGATCCGGGAAGGCGATAAAGTGGTTACTCAACAGCGCTACCAAAATCTACCATCTTCATTATTTCTATTTTCTATTTTACCTTATTTTTAAATTTATAGTTTTTTCATCCAAAGATATTCCGAAAAGAATAGCAAGATACGAGAATATACAAGACCAACAATGTCAGAAAAAGAGCAAAACGATGGTCAACAAAATGTTGATCCATCGATGCAAGGGCATTTTTGCCACGGTATGGACAACCATGTTATACCTACGCAAAGCGAACAATACACGGGCGAGAGATGTTCGCAACACCTAAATCACTTTCAGAATGGCACCCAAAGGGTGAGCCGAGTCATTCGCAGCAACCATCTGGATGACAACCTGCGCATCAACACAAAACATGACATTAGTAAATGAATGGGAAAGACACCAGCACATGGCATCACGAAGTGACATTAACTCAATGAGAAAATGATTAGAGACTTATGCATAGAACTGGCCAAAAGTGAAGGATACAACCCGATGCTTTGACAAAACCACAAGCTAATGCACTACCGATTGATTCTTTTGTCGCACCGTCGAAATGAACAAGCACAAATCCTTCCAGGATGGGTGGCAGAATTGAATTGTGGTTAGAAGGTGGCATTAGATGGTTACTACGATGCCTAGCAGCGGCAACTTCCTGAATTATATTCCATTCGGGGACTTTACCATTATATTGCCGCAATAGAGAAGTAGGGAGAAATTGGATGAAATCATAAGTAGAATAACATTTCTCTTTCCAAATCCTCCAGTATAGGAATACTATACGAGATAAATCATGTTGATTTAAGCCTGCATCAAAAACAAGAATCTCCAGCCAATGGCAACATGGAGTGAGTTTAGTTGTAAGAGTAATGCCTATAACCTGCAAGATCCCACAAGTTAGTAGCCACTGTACATTCGAACATTTTGAGGTGAATTGGTTGATAAAATACTGGACAACGAGCATACCTTTCGCAGTTTCCTTAGAATGAAGAACTCCATTGTCATCTACAAGGGCAATAATCATGTTCTTTCTTTATCTTTTTAGTGTAGTCAGGTGGAAAAATCTATTGTTGGAGTCTCCTTCTGTTAGCCTGTGGGTGCGGGATTTTCGTTGTCAATATATTGCTTCTTGAATATATGCTTTGGATAATTGTTGCTCCCGCTGACTAATAGTAACACAATCTAACGGAAGAATCTCACAAATAGAGGTGACTGCGTAATGTAGTTCCTGAATAGCTCGGACAAAATTTGATGTGGCTTTGGAGGCCCAGTGGAAGAGTTGGTGCCGAGATAGCTTTAACGTGTTGTGGAGCTAGAATTGCAAGGTACCACTGCAAGGACGATGCCATTCCGTGTCCAGCATATCTTTTGCTTGTATATTATTAATCCAAGTCGTGGGTGGAAGGAGAGATGAACCCACGATTACTTTTCTTTTCCTCGGATATGCACTTTAGTGATCTCACTCCAAAAATTGACAGTGAAAATTAGATTAAGTATAATTTTGTAAACAAAAAAGATACTGCACCTAATTATTATTTTTTAAAATAAATTTATATATATTATAATCAAACCCTACTACCACCCTCTCTCATCTACCTCACTTCATCCTACTTTTTCTCTTCGACGTCAGCTCCCGCCGTCATCCCTCACTTGCTATTCCCTCGTCCCCGTTCCCGTCCCCTCTCGCTACCCGCCTCCCCACACCCAACACACTCTCCCTCCCTCCCCGCCCCTCCCCTCCCACCGCCCAACTCCCCTCCCCCCCCCCCCCCCCCCCCCCCTCTCTCTCTCTAAAGGAGATTGGCGAAGAACATTTCGGCCGGATTCCAGATCTGTATTTTTCATACTGGTATGTATTTTTTTCGTAGTGGTATTATTTTTCCGCATGGGTATTGATTATGTAATAGTATTGTTATTTTGGTACTGATATTATTGTATTGGTAGTGATCTTCATGTATTGGTATTAGTTAAATATGCATTGGTATTGGTTAATTAATGGTATATATTATGATAGTGGTAGTGTTTTTATGTTTTGGTATTGATTTATTGCTCTTTTCTATGATAGTATTGGTGTTTCTCTAAGTGGTAGTGGTTGTGTAATTAATTGGTATTGATTTCTTGTTTTATTCTTGTTGTGGTATTAATTCGGCTAAACGGAGACAAGGAAAATATTGAGAAAAATCAGGAAGTGGGATCTGGCTGGAGATTGCTAAAGTGAGAGAAAGAGAGAGACATTTGTAATTAATATGTTTTTTAACTTCTTAAAATGTAATTTATTAAAAAAATAATTAATCCAATTTTTCATACCTTATTTGCCCTTAGTAACCATAGTGATTACTACTCTTGTAATCACCATAATCGCTCCCATAAGATCTGGTGTCAAATGAGGGCTTTTGGGCTAAGTTGGGAACCACGTTAAGTGATTACTACTTTTTTAGTAGTAACCATGGTCAAACTCTACGGCGTTTATTTTACTTATTTTCCTCTTTTTTAGATTGACGGTCAGGATTGTCCTAATAATAGTTTTAGAAACAAAAAAATCCCACATGTAAATTATCTTTAAAACCTAACGTCTCTTCACCCATCCCTGTCTCTCTCTCACCCATCTCTATCACTCTCTCCCCCCATCCCCCATCCACATGTAAGATATACTACACAATCACAACTAATACAAAAAACAAGTCAACACATTACATTAAAGATAATTCACATTACTACTACACAATCTTACTGAAAAAATACAATTCACGAAAAATCCAGAAGAAAACACTACCCAATTTTCTCATCCATAATACTCAGATATGTGCTCGCTATCACTAGAAGAATAAAAGAAAGTAACCTAAGAGCATGTTTTGTAGTCCCTTAAATAAGCATAGTCACTAATCGCGTCCCATGAATCACTACCCATATCTGGTCCTAGTGCCAATAGAGGAGTTCCAAGCGGGAAAACTAGAAAAGCAAAGCAAAGAGGGCTTACTTTGAGCCAGCCAGCTAAGATGATTAGACTGAAACTTCAAGTAAAGTGGGTTGAACAAGAAATTAGTTACGGGTCGAGAATGAACGAAATTGATGGGGTTCAAAGAATAGATGGACCGAGTCCTCAAAGAAGACTTGGGCTTCAAATGAGCCCTTTGGTTAGATCTCTTTTGTAGGGAGTAGGCTCACTGACTTGAGAGATAATTATCTTGATTTTGTAGGTGGTCCAGTGAGAGAGCACGACCCAACATCAAATGCAGAGGCAATTAAGCAAGTCGATGGACTTAGCCTAAGGAAGATACTCTCTAGGGAGTTAGAGGAGTTTCGATCTCACGGTAAAAACAAACCTGCATGGGCCACCAACATGGAATTTGAAGAGTTGGTCCAGCACAAGAAGGTCACCATAAGAAGCCCAAGTCGAGTAGGGGAGAATACGATTGAAAGAAAAGAAAGCACAAGAAATGGAGGAACCAATGCGTGGTTTGCATGCGAGACGTGGAATGGGCCAAGTCGGTCAACCTTGAGTACAAGGTTGGTCTCAAGGGGGAGGGAATGATAGACACCCGATCCTTATGGTTTCCATTATAAATTATGGTAAGATAATTATTATTAGAGTTAGTAGTATTTGAGTCGTATTAGGTTATTGATCAAGTTTATTTCAGTATTTTCCTATAAATATGTATTCGGCCATTCATTTACGATTACAAAAAGATTAATAGAAGAAATCGTATCCCAAACCCAATTATATTCTCTCTCAATCTCGTTTATCCTTCATCCCCAAAGACTTAGACCCTTCTTTCTGTTCTTCCCCAAATCCCCAAATTCTTCTTCTAATCCCTAATTCTATCTTTCTCAATCCTAAATTCCCAATTCTGTCTCATAAACTCTAATTCTCCAAACACCAATCTCGATCCAGAACCCGTTGTTTCTAACAGCAGTTTCCTCTTTTCTGCCCTTCTCGTTCTCGGTCAATCAAGCCGACGATGGCTCTCATTCTACCACCATGGGCAATGGGAGCCGAAGACCTCCCATCGCAGCCCAAATCTAAGGTGTTTGAGATCTTGGATTCAGCCATAACCATCGTTGCCTTGTTCTGGCCCAAGGACCTCTCGGCGCGGAAAGCGCACATCATCGGCAGCTTGGACTAGAACAAGTTGGCACTTTCTACCAAGAAATCACAGTCCAGAAATATCACCATCAACGTCCGTCGGCTGTCGAAGACTTATTAGGAGCATGATGAAGCGACAGCCTCCGACTTGTACGAGAGGAAGTTGGAGTGCAGTAACAAGGAGCGTGGAAGATGATGATGGAGCTCTAATTGATCACGAGGTCAACAAAGTAGTTGCAGCCTGCTGGCTTTGTTGTGGAAGAAAGTTCTCTGAAAAAATGCGAAGAACAGGGTTAGAAAAAGGGAAAGAAAAACGATGACGTAGTGACGCAGAGAATGAAGGCAACGCACTGTTTGGTTTTGCTTTAGTCTGCAGATGTTTTTGCTGTATAGACTTTACACATGTATAGAGCATATTGGTAGATAGCTTAGTGTAGAAACTAACGGCTAGGTAGATCCCCTTTTCATTGTTTTGCTTTGTAAAAGTGTATATACTCTCTGCGTAATGGAAAGCTCAGTATGAGAAATTCCCCAAATATTCTCTCTTCTTATGGTATCAGAGCCTGGTTATCGCGCTAAGATCCGTCTTTCATCTCTTTCATTTTTCTTTTCATTTCTCGTTTCGTCTTTGAGCCCTGGTTGCATCAACAATGGCGGATGGAACCAGCTCACCCACTTCAGAATAGAAATTTGAATCCTCTGACAAATCCAAGGCCATAATGACCTCATATGAGGATCCTTACCTCAATCCTTACTATATTACACCTCATGATGGTGCTCTGCCCACCATCATCTCAATCAAGTTCATCGATGGCAACTATCACACCTGAAGTGAAGTTATGTTGCTGGCTCTAGAGACCAAGAACAAAACCCAATTCATTGACGGTCGTATCCCAGTTCCTCAGGTAACAGATCCTCACTACCAATCCTGGGCTCGTTGCAATGGCATTATTCGTTGCTGGATTTACAACTCTTTGTCAGATGATATAGCGAATAGTGTCATGAGGCTAGGGTTAGCGAAGTATGTCTGGAT